AATGGCCGGAGACAGGCCCCTGGTAAAGCAAGAGGATGTGAGGACCAGGACTCTAGCGGGGGGACCAGACCATGGGGGACGTGGGAGGCTTCCCCCACTGGGACGTCCGTGGCAATGCTTCGTTAGGGAGGAAAGTTTCCAAGGTGTAAAGGGGATGGAATTCCTACCCGATTGCTTCATGTTGCTCCATGAAGTCTGAGGCAAAATCATCAGTCAAAAGAAACAGATTGCTGCAAGGGGGTGGGTAGAGGGGCTGACAGCACCTTTCATTGGGAACAACACCCATACGAATGGCGAATGGCGGATGGCGAGCAACAAGAATAGCGACAGAAGGAGGTGGAGAGAGGGAGTGAGCCTGATGCAAAAAGTCATCAAAGAGAGGAGTGAAGGGGAGTGTGCACAGGACTTGGGAAAGAGGCCCAGCAGCTGTTAACGTCTCAAGGCAAGAACCTGCCTCCAGAGGCTTACTTACTCAAGTAGTTGTTTGCCAGGCCTATTTGAGTTGAGTTATTTGAAACTAGATTCTATTTTATCTTGTTTTATTTTTTGAGTCAGTGTCTGACTCTTTCGCCCAGGCTAGACTGTAGTGACACAATCACGGCGCACCACAGCCTCAACTCTTGTGCTCAAGGGATCCTCCTGCCTCAGTCTTCCAAGTAGCTGGAACTACAGGCTCACATCACCACACCTGGGTATTTTTTTTTAAGATATGAGATCTCACTATGTTGCCTAGGTAGGTCTCGACCTCCTGGACTTAAGCAATCCTCCTGCCTCGGCCTCCCAAAGTGCTGAAATTACAGGCGTGAGTCACCATGGCCAGCCTGAAATTTGATTTTGGATAAATGTATGGCAGTCCAAATAGCAGACATAAAGGAGCCACCAGGGTGAATGACTCACCTCCATCTTATCCTGCCCCAAGCATGACTTGGACCAGGACGAAACCAGAAGCTCCTGTGTGTCTTGTTTCGCCCACTGCCTGAAACCTCTCCAGACAGGCCTTGTCTGCATCTGCTCTTTGTTACGTGCCCCAGCTTCACTGTCCTTGGAGACCTCCACACGTCTCAGGGCCGGCTGCAGTCCCTGGGGACCAATGGCTTTCCGTCCTGCGGTTCAGCTGCTCACGCCCAGGACCCTGCTCTGGCCTTGGCTTTGGACGTGGATGCTCCTCTCAGAAGCAGCCCTGGCCGGGCTGGTTGTTCACCTTGCACACTGTCTCACAGAACCCCAGAACCTCTGGACTTCGAGTGGAAAGAGCCCTCATAGTCGCTTAGGCCAGGTAGACCCGTCTCCCGCTCACCCAGGGCCTTCTCTTTTCTCCCATTGGTGGTTTCCCCCTCTTTAACCCCACACGTTTTCCCTTGACGTGGGAAGTGGTTTCGTCTCAGGAGGGCTGACTGCTGTTTCTCATACTGGTCCTTTTAGTCACTTGTGCCCCTAGTTTTGAAATCACTTGAACATGCTGGCCTTGACTTTCTTTTTCTCATCTGCCTGTGCTAGTGTTATCTGTCTTTTATGAGGTCATGTGAAGGTTGGGGCTTTTAGCGGCTTGGTGACAGCTGAATGTCAAAGATTCTCTTTGCTCTGAGGCTTTATGCTGCTTTAAGCAGCAGTGATTTGACACCCTGGTCACGACATTTTACACTTTGAAACTCATGCAGATTCAGGCAACGAGTTCTCTCCCACTGCAGGTGGGCACCATTGAAATCTCAGTTTAACTTGCAACCGAAGAGAGTATGATTCTAGAATGTGCTTCTTAGCTCTGTAATAACCTGGTGGGTTGTGGATCTGTAACGAGTGTTCCCTCTAGACTTCTTACCGATATGTAATTAACTGAAGACATTTCCTGCTGGGAATAAGCCACATGGATTTGACTCTGAGCACACCCAAGTTTCCAGATCCTGATTATGCAGTCAAGGTCTAGGTCATCTAGTTTGTGGCATATTCGGATCTTTGCTCAGTACAGTGACCTGTACTGGGAACAGCAGGGTCTTTGAAGACAATGAGACCTGGACTCAGCTCTCGGCTTTGCCATTTACCAGCTTCAAGTCTTTTGGAAATCACTTAACCTTGGCCAGCCTCCCCGTCCTTCTCTGCAAAGCAGGTGTCATCGTGTGTACCTCTGTGTCGTGTGAGACTTCAATGAGATAATGTGTGTAAAGTGTCTGGACATGGCCTGGCCCTCTGGGTGGTTGGTGACTGTCACGTCTCCTTGCCTTGTTGCCTCTGCTTTTTTCCCTTTCTGCATCTGGTCCGGCATAGAGAAGACCCAGGCTTGATTCCTGGGTCACTTTAAGTTCCTTAAAATGTCACACCTGGAAAATTGAGAGCATTCACAGAACATTTTATGGAAGCCTTTCTTACCTTAAGTCCTCGCTGCAAGGCTCCGTATTCCCACTGCTGGAAAGGGAGGGAGAGGAAAAGTCTTTAGGAAGGAAAAGAAGCGAATGTTTAGAGGCAGCAAAAAGAGAGGAGGTGAGAGGCAGGAGAAGGAAGTCTGTGACTCACACCTGCAATCCCAAAGGAGCAAGGTGGATCTTGGAGGAGGGAATGGACCATGATGAGGGGACGGACCATGAGGGGGGACAGACTGCGAGGGAGGGGATGGACCACGAGGGGGATGGATGGACTGCGAGGGCTGGGGACAGACTGCCGGGGAGGCCCACCTGATGGACACAAAGTGCGCAGACACCAGCAGCCTTCCCAGAGCCAGACACCTGGGCTCTGGGTAAAACAGACCTGTGTTCAAATCCTGCCTTCTCTGATACTTCCGGGGCTTTGAACAAGTTCCTTAACCTCTCAGCACTTCAGTTTTTGCCTTTTCATTTTGTTTTGTGAGACACAGTCTTGCTCTGTCACCCAAGGTAGAGTGTGGTGGCATGACTGTAGCTCACTGCAGCCTCGAATTCCTGGGTTCAGGCAATCCTCCTGCCTCAGTCTCCCTAATAGCCAAGACTACAGGTACGCACCACCACCTCCAGCTAAGTTATATTTGTATGAACTGCCAGAACATCAGTTTCCAAACAAAGAAAATTGCTGGGTGTGGTGACTCATGCCTGTAATCTCAGCACTTTGGGAGGCTGAGGTGGGAAGATTGCTTGAGTCAGTCCAGAAGTTCAAGACCAGCCTGGGCAACGTAGTGAGAGCTTGTCTCTTAAAAAAAAAAATTTGGCTGAGTGTGGTAGTGCCCACCTGTCATCTCAGCTACTCAGGAGACTGAGGCGGGAGAATCGCCTGAGTCAAGGAGCTTGACTGAGTGAGCTGTGATCATGCCACTGCACTCCAGCTAGGGCAACAGGGTCAGACCCCAACTCAAAAAAACAAAGAGAAGAAAAGAAAAAAGACAACAAGAGCGACGCTTGCTTGAGTGCTCACATGTGACAGGACTCTCCACTTGGCCCACATGCTGTCTCGAATTGTGACCCTCGTTTGACAGACGAGGACTGGCTGAGGGACACGGTTCCGTTCATCCAGGATCACGGAGCTGGCTTCTGCCCACAGAGCGTGGCTGGAACCTGCACTTTGGCCACGGCACCGGAGCTGCGCCTGGGGTGTGAGGCGGGCAGGACGGCGCTGTGAGTGGGCACGCGGGACCGCTGGTGTGGACTGCGCACGGCTGGCTCCCATCCTTCCCGTCTGCTTTGCTCCCCGGGCTGCTTGTCTGCTGTTATCCAGGCAGTAGGACTTAGTTTCTAGAAAGTTTCGTCTGGTCAGAGAGACCTCTGGGATGCAGAAGGAACCCCAACTCGGCCCACCTCAGACACACGCGAAGCTTCGCGGTGGAGGAAGTTAGTTTAGTGCAGCTGAAGTCTGTCTACAGGAAGTCTGTCTTGTGAATATTATGAAAGAACGCAACCCCATATAAAGATTTTTTTCCTCATGATTCCACTCGTGGCTGTAAATTGGAACACGGCTCAATGACTTGTAGCAGGGAAGAGAAAATGCGTGCGTGCTCTTTCTCTCTCTCTCTCCCCCTTGGTCTTTCTCTCCTTTGGTCTCTCTCTCTCTCTCTCTCTCTCTCTCTCTCTCTCTCTCTCTCTCTCTGTCTCTCTCTCTCTCTCTCCTCCTCCTCCCTCCCTCCCTCCTTTTTTCTCTTTCCCTCTGTCTTTCTCCATCTCTCTCTCTCTTTCTCTTTCTGTCTCTCTCCCTTTCTCTCCCTCTCTCCCTCTCTGTCTTTCTGTCTCAGTCTCTCTCTCTCTCTCTCTCTCTCTCTCTCTCTCTCTCTCTCACACACACACACACACACACACACACACACACACACACACGCATGGCGGGAGTGAATAGCTTATTCAGTCTCTTTTTAAGTGTCTTTGGTTGAAATTAAATTAGCTCTTATTTGACCATTGTCTTATTGATTGATGAAAGTTATTTCTTCTACGAGTTCAGCCTATGTTTTGGCATTAAATAGATAATATCATCTGATTTGTTTATTTGTTCATTCGTCATTTGATAATTATTAGGAGCCTATTATATTCTGAGCACTGTGCTGGGCGCGTGGACTATTAGGATGAATGAGGTGGGCTTTCCTTTCAAGTGGATCATCATCTAATGAGCAGAAACCAAACAATTATTCTACAGCATGACACGTTTAGGAATGGAGATGAATGCAGGGTTTGTCATTTGTATCAGTACATGTTTTACTGGACTAAAAATGTTTGTAAAAAGATTTTTGTCTTCTTTTCTTTGTTGAGGATTATTTTTGCATTCCGGTAAAAAAGGAAAATAACCATACATATCTTCTTTGAGTTCTTTTATTAAGACATGTCTTAAGAGCAAATTATGAAATTAATTTCTTAGCCTTGTTTCTCCTGACTTCTTGGCCAAAGAGAGACACATGTTCGTTGTTAAACAGAGGAAAAAGCAACACTGGGAACAAAGAAAATTGGAATTATTCCTCTAGTCCTGCCTCCAAGCATTATTTATTGAATGCCAATTGACCTTTAAAGGTTTTCTGTTGTGTAAATATATATGAAAATATGGTTTTTCCTTCTGCACAACAGAGCCTGCTGGGATATTAGATGCCTGGTACGTGAAACAGCACATTGACTACAACAGACAACAGATTTCTCTTTTCTGGAAGGTAAGTTTAAGTGTCAACTTAAAATTCAAGGGAATTACGTATTTGAATAATTAGTCCCAAGGCAGAAAAAGGCCAATTTGCATAGTGGCTTTGATTGGAGGCTTCGGTGATGTGGTTGGTGCGCTCAGACACACTTATGACGTGACGCGTTTACGGGGAAAGGGGTGCGTGCCAGCTGGGCTGAGTGCCTTCGCCCCCCCCAGACTGAGGTCCCCCAACCCCGTCCCTAGCGTGTCCCCCTCTGACCCCAGCTACACCACCTCTTCTGGTGCTTGCCCCCCCTGCTCGCCCCGACTCTCCTATGTAAATGTGCCTGGGATGACCATCGCCCCCTACCCCTTCACTCTGGGAGATGGAAAGGTGAGGAGGCCGTGGCCACAGACACTCAAGAATAGATGTTTGGGCAACCCCTCGGGTCCCCGCCCACTGTGGGAGACTTTCTGTCCTCTCAATAAAAATCTTGCTTTCTAAAACAAAACAAAACAAAACAAACAGACGTTTAAAGTCATTGAAGGGGAGAAGGTGGAAAGAAAGGGGCCCTGCCTTAGGAACAGTGACACTGGTGGAAAACCGTTTCGGCAGGCCCAGCAAGCAGCCTTCCTCAGGGATGGGAGTGGGACAGCGGTCAACTGAACAACTTTCAGGACGTCGTGAGGCCCACCGCTCTAGGAGATAGCAAAGTGCCGGCCGTCAGCATAGCCCTTTCATTGACTCCCCCAGAGCCCATGAGATAGGCGCTGGTATCTCCACCCAGCAAGTGAAAAGAGCAAGCATGAAGGCAGGCAGCCCTGGCCTAAGGTCACCCAGCTACGAAGGGCAGACCTGCCACTGAGCTGCCTCTGGAGCTGCCCCTGGACGTCGGGCCTCCTCCTTGTGGAAGGAAAGGCCGTCCCGTTTGCACTGAGCCACGACGGCGCTCACGGCTCCTTCCGTAAGAGAACTCGCATTCCTTGCACCCTCATCTCCTCCCCCTACGCGCGCGCGCGCACACACACACACACACACACACACACACACACACAATGTCTATATAAGAAGAAACCACTATAAATAACTTGGTGAGTCAGGAATGAGCTCTTTGCTTTGAAACTAACGCGGCAGCTCAAGATTTATTTTAAAATAAAGCCACTTAAAATAGCAGGACATTTCTCCAAGCAGGGGACACTCAGAGCAGCCATGATTTGTGAATATTATGAAAGAACGCAGCCCCATGATTCCCTTTTCATGAGTAAGTGACTGGTTAAAACCAAAATTCCTCCTCTCATATAAAGATTTTTTTCCTCCAAAAATGACCTCCATGTTGATATAGGAAGACATTATCATTCCTCTCTACTCAAGAGTTCTCTGAAGAATGAGGGTTGTGATGTTGGTCCCGTCAAAGCCCACAAGACCATTGTGGGGATCAGTAAATGTGGAACATCACAAGGGCCACCAAGCTAAAACTAAAAGGTACTGCATCGTGAATTTTTTTTTTTTTTTTTTTGAGTCAGAGTCTCACTGTGTGGTCCAGGCTGGAAGGCAGTGCCACCACCACAGCTCACTGCAGCCTTGAACTTTTGGGCTCAGGCGATCCTTCCACCTCCACCTTCCGAGTAGCTGGGACAACAGGTGTACAGTTGCACCCAACTAATTCTTTACTTTTTGTGGAGACAAGGTCTCGTGTGTTGCCCGGGCTGGTGTTGAACTCCTGGGCTTGAGTGATCCTCCCGCCTCAGCCTCCCGAAGTGGTGGGATTGCAGACATTAGCCACCACCCAGCTGCAGCATGAATTTTTATCCTAGCAGTGAAAACAACTTGCCCGGTGGCAGCGTGTATGCCTGTTGCTGTAACAGAGAGCCAATCGCAGAGGTCATCGTGGTCCTCTAAACTAGTACCAGCGGGAAGCCAAAATAAGTATGTGTGAGCCACAGCCAATGCTTAGCATGTGTGCTTATGGATGCACTTCCCTGCGCTCATTTTGATTTTGTTCCTGTCCTCATGAGGCCTGGGTTCTGAGATGAGGCCTTGGAGTCTGGAGGGACTTCAACGCTTTCCCAGTCCGGGCTTCCTCTCGTTATAAGCATGGCCCCTGCTCCTGCCAGGACAGACAGCTGTCTCTGCAGGGACCTTCTGGGATGGGAGAAGACCACTTTGCATTCTGCCTGTGCCGTGGCTGCATGACTCTCATTGCTGAAAAGTCTTCCTGTTGTGCAGTCAGAATCGTGGGCCCAGGAAGGATGCTGCAGTCTGGAGCTGGCTTATGCGAGAAAAAGGTACATGCTGGAACTTCTACGGCTGAACGCCAGGTGGTGGTCAGCACAGGCAGTCTCATGACCCGTGACTCCTTGGCCTGGGAAGACCCCCGGGGAGAGCGGGACTGTCTGAAGTGGCCGGACTGTTGCAGGATCAAGTCCTTTCCTGTCGGATTCCGGGCTTCCTTGCTGGCCTCAAGCAGTGGGCTCACCTGGGGTGGGGATGGACGCACAGACCAGAGTCACCGAGACGGGCACTCTCGCTCCGGACCACAGAGCCGCAGAGCCCCAGACCTCTGACTGGCATGTAACCCCCTTCTCATTCCACAAACGTGGAAACAGAGGTTTCCAGAGGCCAAGTGATTTCCGGGGAGGGGATTTCGGGTGACATGGCCCCCCTCCTGCCCTGGCCTCCGACAGGGAATGCCTCGTGTCCCACTCAGGCAGGCTTGGGGACTTGAGGGGGTGCCGTGGCTCAGGGGACTCCACGTCAGACAGGTGAGAAAACCCTGCCCAGATCATGTGCTTTGTGGTGGGGCCCAAGTCATCACACCTCACTGGGGAGAGGGAGCAGAGACACGCGTGCGGTGGTATTTGGCTTTTTTTCTTGAGCCACACTAGGAAACCAGATGCAAGAGACACCCTGTTAGGGTCCAGATAGGGTGAGGGTGGATGGATGGTGAGGGAGTGGGAGGCGTAGGGAGGTGCAGCACCGCGGGAGCCAGCAAGCCGGAGGTGCTGTGCAGGCACCCCAGAGATCTGAGTAAATGCAAAGCATTGCAACACACAAAGAGGTGAGAGAAGATGAGATTTATTTAAGAAAGCTTCACCCCCCCACAGACAAGGAGCAGGCCTACACTCTAGGTGAGTGTGGTGTCATAGCCCCCCAAAGCCCTGGCTTAAATCCTTTTCCTTGGTGATGTTGCACGTGACTGCCGTGACTTCCTTATCGATCACCTGTGGATGTCTTGGAGAACCTGTGACCCAGAGACCCACTAATGTCTACCCACATGATCATAGCCCCTAGAGAAGGGTGTGACAAGGATTCACATGCTCCTGCACCTTCCCGAACGACATTCCTTCGAGCTAATGGAGGGTGTACCTCCCCTTGTCTCCTAGGCATTCCCAGTGGGTAGCTTCAGGGGATCCTCGGCTTACCTGTAGATAGGGCCCATTCTACTGGAAGATCGAATCCCCACCTGCTCTCCCTCTGAGCGGTCATAGCTTTTGTAATCACAAGTTTTGTGACTTTTACAGTCCTTGCCCAATGCATGATGTCTTAGGCCTTGTAAATTCCCTTTACTCTAGGCAAGCTTGATTGCCGCTATGAGATACCTCTGATACCTGGCACCAGGAAGTCTGTTTCTGAAAAGACAAAGTCGGCAAAGTTAATTTTACCTACAGTGTGCATTTCTCCAAAAGCATAGCTTCTACTTTCTCATCGTTGGGTCAGGGTTTAAGATCAAGATGAAAAATGGCTTCCCACTCTTAGTCTGTCCTTTCATTCCCCACCACTGCCCAGAGGGGAGTTTCAGGTCTTGGCACCAGAGGAAGCCCCTGTCAAACCCCGTTAGCCAGATGAACAAAGCACAGCCCTTATGTGTGTGTGTGTGTGTGTGAGAGCATGTCAGCATGTGTGTTTTGTGTGTGAGCGCGTAGGCTGTTTGTGATATATGTGTGAATACATGTGAGTTTTGCATGTGTGTGAAGGATGTGAGCGAGTGTGGGTGTCTATATATATGAGTGTAAGAGTGTGGTTGTGTGAGTGTGTAGGTATGAGTGTGTGTGGGCCTGTGTAAGGGTGTGAGAGCTGTATATCCATGTGAGTGGAAGGGGTGAGTGTGGTTACAGGTGAGTGGAGTGTGGGTGTGCATGTGTGGTCGAGAACATGTGTGATCACGAATGTAGGGATGAGTGTGTGTGCCTGTGTGTAAGGGTGAGAGCTGTGTACATATGTGAATGTGTGGAAGGGGAGAGTGTGGGTATATGTGAGGAGTGTGGGTGTGTGTGTGTGATTGTGAGCGTGCGTGTAGGGGTGAGTGTGTGCGTGTAGGGGTGAGTGTGTGCGTGTAAGGGTGAGAGCTGCGTACCCAGGTGAGTGGAAGGACGTGAGCATGTGAGTGTGTGGAAGGGGTGAGTGTAGACATAGGTGAGTGGAGTGTGGGTGTGCATGTGTGATCGTGAGCCTGCGTAAGGGTGAGTTACGTGTGGAGGGTGAAGGTGACCTTGGCTTTGTTGTTATGCATTTTCCCAGGCCTTCATTTCTCCCCAAAGCTCCATTTTCTCAGAAATATTCTGCACTCCTTTTTTAATTGTAGGAATAGGAGCAGGATGAGAAGGACCCTTGGGTGTTAGGGAACGTTCCAGGCTCAGCCAGAGGGAGAGCCGTTGTGAGCACTCGGGAGCAGCTGGGGAGGAGCCAGTCTGGCACTGAGCTCGGCAGAGCAGGTCAGCCAAGACAGAGGAGGGGCACGTGGGCAGGAGACCCTCGGGGCCTGTGGATTCTGTGTGAAAGGATCCCTTTGGTGAAGCACTGTCCCAGAGAAACACAAGGCAAGCCACAGATGCAAGCCTCATGCCTTATTTAACATGTTTTCATAGCCACATCATAAAGCGTAAAAGGAAACAGGTGAAATTGATGTTAATAACATATTTTGTTTCACTCAGTATATCCAGAATATTATCCTTTCAATATGTAAATAATATATAAAATCATTGGGATAGTTCATATCTTTTGTTTTCCTACAAAGTCTTCAAGAACTGGGTCTA